ATAGGTCCTTTGTTTCTCTGGTTACATTTATTCCCAGATATTTCATCCTTTGGGTGGCTATTGTAAATAGTATTGCTTTCCTAATGTCCTTTTCAGCACTGTCATTTCTATATAGGTATCCAACTGAATTTTCTATGTTGATCTTATATCCTGCCACTTTGCTGAATCTTCCAATGATGTCTGGTAGCTTTTTTAATGAGTGTTTGGGGTTTTCTATGTATCGGATCATATCATCTTCAAACAGAGAGAGTTTTATTTCCTCTTTGCCAATTTGCATGCCTTTAATTTCCCTATCTTACCATATAGCTCTGGCTAAGACTTAGAAAACAATATTGAATAGGAGGGTGACATAAGCAGCCGCCAAACAATTTGCCCTTAGCTTCTATAGGACTCTTTCGCTCTGTGCCATGGGAACAACTGGGGGCTCAACGCTGGACCTCTTTTCTGGGGGTGCACATCCACCAACCTGAAGGCGTCCGGGCTGGGCAAAGAAGGTGCGACAAGAAAGAGGAGGAAAAATGTGTAGAATCCCTCCACACCTCCAACTGCAAATGTCTCTCTACCACTTTTAGCACTGGTTACCGGTGCCTGTCTGGCTGTGGTCCCACCCACTGAACTCTGCCCCGGCGGGGTGGCTGTAGAGGGAGTCCCACACCCAGAGCAATTCCTAAATTGCAATATTTTCCTTTATACCATGATTTTTTCACTGGTGTGTGCTGGAAACTGATACCCTGAACCTTATGCTAACTCCCATCCCCCGCCCCCAGTGGAGTGAGGATGGAGCCATAGTGGCACAATGGTTAAAGTGCTTTGCTGTTCATCCCACCAGTTGCTCCAGGGAAGGACCATACAGCAGCCTGCCTCCATTAAGATGATGGCCCTGGACACTCTGTGGGCAGTTCTGTGCTGAGACACAGGGCTGCTCTGAGTTGGAATCCACTCCACATACCCAACAACAGCAGCATGGAGTGAGGAGGGCTGAGGCCTCACAGTGTGGGCTTGGGGCCCTACTGTTGTCACCGTTTGTTCGGGGAGGCTGGGGACCTATTGAGGCTTGGGTGGCACTGGAGGCTCTACTGGAGGCGGAACCTGAGGCCATTGGGCTAACAAGGGGCGGGGTCTGGTGAGCAGCTCAGGCTCTCCTCCCAGAGCACAGTGCCTTTGTTCCAAACCAGCCTCGACTTCTAGGCCTGCTATGCTTTATGCCTCAGGTGGGCTCCTTTCCGTCTGGATGTGGAGTCTACAGGCTGGACCCTGACACTCTATATCCTGGCAGTTCATTCCTGAGTCGGCCCGCTTCAATGTGTCCACCGGGAACACCCAGGCTGCCCTGGCCACGCTGGAACACATCGCCAGGACCAACCGCTCGGTCATGCCGGAGGGGAAGCTGGTGGAGCCCATCCTGGTGAGTCAGAGGTCATGTCCACCCAGAGTCCTGGGAGCAGAGGCCAGGGGCAGGTTCCACCCAATCCACATTCGTCACTGTGGAGCTACTTCTGACTTGTGGCAACCCCAGGTGTGTCAGCATAGACCTGCACACCCTAGGGAAAGGAGTGGTTCAGTGTTCAGCTGCTAACCGAAAGGTTGGTGGTTCGAACCCACCAGCTGCTCCATGGGAGGAAGATGAGGCCATCTGCTTCTGTAATGATGACAACCTTGGAAACCCCGTTGGCAGTTCTCGGTCCTACAGGGTCGCTGTGAGTCAGAACCAACTCCACGGCACACAACAACAACAACAACATGGTGGTGGTGGTGTGCTGTGGAGTGAGTTCTGACTCAGAGCAACCCTGCATAGGGTTTCCAAGGTTGCAAATTTTTATGTGAGTAGAAAGCCTCATCTTTCTCGGACGGAACGGCTGGTAGTTTCGAACCGCTGACCTTGAGGTGAGTTTCAAGTGTATGTAAAATGATTCTGAGTGGTCTCTTAAGAGTTTCAAAGATTTCTACTGTGTCAGTATATCCTGCTTTTCATTTTAATATTGTTCGTTTTGGAAACTTGTCAATCTGAGTAGACTTTAAAGAACATTTTTGTAAAATGATTTTTTCATTGTCTTGTCTTCTACTCTTTTTCTTCTACACTCTGACTTTTTTTCCTTCTTCTACATTGTTAAATTCAGTACTTAGCTCATTTATTTCCTTCTTTTTGATTTTTAATGAACCATTAACCCACCACTGGCCATTGACTCCAACTTGTAATGTCCCTATAAGGCAGGAGTGTTCCTCAGGGTTCTGAGGCTGAAAATCGGTACGGGAGCAGACAGCTTCCTCTTTCTTCAGCGGAGTGGCTGGGGGGCTTGAACCACTGACCTTTCTGTTAGCAGTTCAACTCATAACACATTGTGTCAACAGGACTGCTTAATAAACCATTAAGCTGCATTCAAAGATTTTCTTGCCAAGTATTTTTATTTTTCTTTGTAATTTTTGGTATTATTTTGTCTTTAACAATGAGTTGTCTTATAACTATCTTTTGGTTATTTGTTTCTAATTGAATTGTATTTTGAGCAGACGATGTTATCAAATATTTGGAATTTGTAAAGACTTTTTTTCTTCTTCTTCTTCTACAGTTACTTTTAAGGAGCTCTGGTAGCATAGTGGTTATGAATTGGGCTGCGAACCTCAGGGTCAGCAGTTTGAAACTACCAGCTGTTCCATGGGAGAAAGATGAGGCTTTCTGCTCCTGTAAAGATTTACAGCTTCGGAAACCCTGTACAAGGTCACTATGAGTCGGAACCGACTCCACGGCTCATAACAACAACAACAGTTACTTTTTGTAAATCTTTCGTGTATACTTAAAAAGACTATGTACTCTCATTGAACATATACAGATAATATTTTAAAGGTAGCTGGACTCCGAACCACAAAGTTCAAATCTACCAGCTGCTCCTGGGAAACCCTATACAGGGTCACTATGGGTCAGAAATGACTCGACAGCACTTATTAACAATAACAATGTACCAGGGGACTTAAAAAAACTCATAGAAAAAATGGAATTAAAAGATAATGGGATTTTTCTGCCAACTTTTTGAAGCTCCCTAGTGAGATCAAGCTGTTTAATCGTATTATTTGAAGTATCTCTTTATTCCTATACTACTTTGTACTTCAATTTCTATTTTCTCTCATACGAATATCTCTAAACTAGCTTGGGCTAATATTTTCCTGCTGTGTCTTTCTCTAGACCTTTATTTTGAACTTTATTTAAAATTTTTAATGAAACTATTATTTTGTGGAGCTGGAGGTGGTACTGTGGGTTAGAGGTTGGACTGTTAATCACAAATTCGATGGTTCAAACCCACCAGCCTTTCCTCAGGAGAAGAACGACATTGCCTGCCCCCATGGAGATTTAACAGCCTCAAATACCCTGTATAGGGTCACTGTGAGTCAGAATCGGCTTGATGGCAGCAGGAGGAGGTGTTGTTTTGCTTGTCGGCATGTAGCTGGTGTTGATTTATTTTTTCACTCGATCAGATACCCTGTTGGCATGGCTGTGGTGTACCTGTTTCTGACCCACCTCATGCTCTGGCACACAATAACAGCAACAACACGATCTATAATATTGGGGATACATTAGTGACTTCTTCACCCACTGAATGGATTCTGCCCCGCCCCCTTTTATTACTCCAGAACAAAAGAGGAAGATTTGCAGACCTCCTGAATCCCAAATATTTGCGGACCACGCTGCAGATCTGGATCATATGGTAAGAATGGAAATATTTCCAAACTGATTTTTAAGAAAGCAGGTATCTGGAGAAACCCTACATATGTAAATCCATTCTAAAAGAGGAGCAGGGGCAGGGTGGGAATCATACGGTTCTTTTTGCTTGTACCTTTCTCTTCAACTCCCCTGTATGTATTTTGATGTTGTCATTGTTAACAGTCCTTGGGTGATGCAAATAGTTTACTAACCTGAAGATTGGCAATTCAAACCCACCCAGTGATGCCACGGAAGAAATGCCTGGCCATCTTCTTCCCAAAACCCAGCCATTGAAGAGTCAATGAAGCCCAGTTCTACTCTGTAACACACGGGGTCGCCACGAGTCAGAATCAACTAGACAGCCTCCATCACGTTGGGGCCGCTGACTCACAGGGACCCCATGCACAGTAAGACAGAACAGTGCTGGCCCTGAACCATGGTCAGTGCGTTTTCACTGGCTGATTTTCGAAAGTTGATAACCAGGAAGTGTCCTCCAGTAGAGTCTTTTCAGGGAGCGAGGCCCTGCTGATTGACCCGGATGTCAGACTCCAGAACTAGCAGCCCTGGGATCCCCTCCTAATGACTCCTCTCTCTCGTTTCCAGGCTGGGCATCTCCTTCGCCTACTATGGGGTCATCCTGGCCAGCACTGAACTTCTGGAAAGGGACTTGGTGTGCGGTTCTCGGTCTGAGTCTGAGGTGGTGACCGTGACTATGGGGGATTCGGAGGAGAGCCGTAGCCCCTGCTACTGTCACATGTTAGCCCCCTCCGGCTACCACACCATGATCATCAGCACCATTGGCGAGATCATGTGTGAGCAGCTCCCCCTGGGCTAGGGTCTGGGTGGGTGGGTGCAGCTCAGAGTCTCAGGGGACTCTACACATCTCCCCATCATGGTGGTGCATTTCCGGTTGGATTGGGCGTCTGTAGAGCACAGCTTTGAGTGACTATATTTTACTAGATCTCAGATGCATTTTAGCATCTCTGAAACTGGGTGCTTCTTACAGTGGTTTGCTGAGCTTCAAGTGGTAGTGTTGTTTCAGGAAGGTAAGTCAAAAGTGTGGCTACGAATTGTAGCCGGCTTTATTAAACAAAAACATCAAAATGATACCCTGTTGTTTCTCAACATGCCCCCTATCTGGGTCTACACACTGCAGAAGGCGCTGTTTCCACCTTTTACCCCAGTGAACGCTGCGCACTTTGACATCACGTCAAAACCACAGTTTGAGCATCCATGAGGGGCTCGAATTGTATTCTTTTTCAATGTCCTTTGAGTTTGGGGAATGAAAAGAAAATCTGATGTGGCAAGATCGGGGCTGTAGGATGGATGTGGTACGGTTTCCCAACAAAATTCTCATAAAACAGCCTTTGCTACCCTCAAAGAATGAGTCTGTCTAGAAAAAAAATTCTCAGCACGACTTGGCTGGCCTTTTCCTCATCAATGCTCTTTTCAATTTTCGTTAAGTACCTTCCTAATTCACCCCTGTGATTGTCTTACGTCTTTCAAGAAAAGCTATCAAGATGGCCCCTTAGGAATTTTCCAAACTTAACCTTGTGCGCTGACCTCTCTGCCTTGCACTGAACGGCCCAGCAGATCCCCTTCGAAGTCACTGTTTTGATTGGACCTTTATTGTTGAAGACACCGGAAGGAGACCAAGACAAATTAATTAAGACTATTCCTGAGCGAACTTATCTGTAGTCCTTCACAATGATCAGGGAGACTTTATTTTTTTAACTTAGGGTTTTCTTTGTTTTTAAACTTTCGTTATGAATTGAGTGAGCATTTACAGAGCAGATCATCAGTTTTTCATTCAACAGATCTTTCCCTTTCTTGCATCTTAGTGATCACAGTCCCCTCCATGGAAGATCACTTACCCACTTCCTCCCTGTGATTCCTGTTGCCTTCCTCCTCCTTCTGAATTTTGTCTTTGGCTAAATGCTGCTCTTTTGATCTTGAATGGTTGGCCACACCTCACTAGTGTTCCTGTTCTTCCTCTTCTTCCCCACCCAACCACCATTTACTCACCTACTGTTGGCTGAAAATCAAGCCATGAGGGTGAGTTCCGTTCTAGACCTGAAGGGTGACCAAGGGC